CTGCACGATGAGGTAAATACCATCGAGGGCGATAATAAGACTGCAGATATATTTCAAAGACCCTCTCCGCATAAGTCTTAATAATAATAATAATAATAATATATTTCTGCATGTGCAGGTACACACCGTTTTTACAGGCATGATCTATAAATTACAATATTTGTTGGTTCGCAAAATGCTTCCCAACTTATTAAGTTTATAGTTGTTATAAAGTGAGATCGTAGAGCGCTTGCTGTAAACTATGACCTTGGGAGGACGCGTACGTTAAGTTTGCTCCAAACGTCAGAAGTTTCATAGTTGTGCTCTCAGAGCAAGATTCTGAAGGAGAAAAAAAAAGAAACAGAGGAGCAGCAAGGCACTTGGATATGAACGCCAAAGGTTGCTTAACATTGTGTAGTAGAACGGACAGAGGTATAATAAATTAGAATAAATTCATATTATGTCTTGTTAGAGTGAAGTGAAGTCAGAGGCTCCATATTAGAGAATGTACTAATAAAGAACAACGAGTAGTGATGTTTAACAAGTTGGAGTAAGCTCACATGAAGGAAGGGAAGTCAAGGTTGGTACAAGGGAAGCGGTTTATTAGAAGGGTGTATATATAGAGGGTGAAGTGTTAAGAATACTAGTGACTATATCTTTTATTGACTTTTTTCTTTTCTTTTTTTGTCCATCCGATGTCAGCCACGCAATCCTAGTGTAAAAGTCCGAGTTAGCATGTTATAGGTTGTCTTAGTAGAATAGCTAATCCAGCATATTATTGGAAACATGAGTCTGAGTGGTGAGCGTAGGAAGACAATCTATATCTTAGATTGACTGTCTTATTCTCAATTATAAAGAGCCTGATACATACAAAATGTTCTGTCCCCACAAACACGGGTGGATTGAAGTTATCGCCCTCACCATCAATGCTTGCTGGTCAGTAACTCCACCCTCCCTCCTTTTGTGATGTTAGGCTCATTTAAGCTTATTTTTGTATATACGTCATACCTCACACAATCCTCTGTTTCACAACTTGTTGGAAAGCACTATTTCTATAAGTACCATTTTACAAGCTTATCAGGCAGTTACAAGCTGTGGACTGTGGGTAAAGCATCGATGCAGTGCCTCTGTTGACTATAGTATAAAGTATAGTTTGCCAAACAGAGTATAAGCGTTAAGAAGGGTATATTGTAGGATAGTTGTTTATTTAAGCAGGCGGAAAAAGTATAGAAGTATGAGTTGTGGATAAGGGAACGAGTAGAGAAATAATATTAATTGCTAGTCAACATTGTGTACAGAAGAGTAAAAAGTTAATATAGGATAAACAGGAAGGAACTCACAGTAACTTGGTGCTGATGTTATTTTCTGTTGTCTTAACCAGTTGATTGGTAACAGGTTCCATAGATGCAAGACCACTGGTAGTAGGCAGCCGATTGTCGGGTCCTCTTGACTTTTTAGGGTGGTAGTGATTGTCCCTTATCGACCGAGTTTAGTTTGACAGTAATGATAGGTCCAGTGAGTTACCTGTCTACTTCAAGTGAAGAAATGGGGTGGAAAAAGTAATTAATACAACTGCAAAGTAGGAAAAATAAGGCAAACTGAACTTGAAGTCCATTTTGGTCTAGACATGGAGAGAGCCTATGATGTCTGAGTGGGGTGCAGATGTGTTCGTACGTGCAAGATCAGTGCGAGTGAGGGCTTGATCAAGCAGTTTCACAAACGTATGTAGTTCATCTGCCATGCGAGTCTCGGGAGGAAGACTGTTCCATATTATTGCATACTTGGTGAGGAAGAAGTTTTCCCGAGTTTTTGATCTGTATTTCTCAACTTTGACCGTAGATACTTTGTTTCGAAGTTCGTATTCATGTGAATCTCGGGCAAGAATTATCTGACATGTTGAGTAAGTAAGGTTTTTGAGTAGTTTGAAGTAGAGAATCAAATTAGACCTAAGCCTTCTCTCCCAAAGGGGTGCTATTCCTAAGATTTGGCATCGAGAACTGTAGTCAATGACCGAGCCAGTCTTAAGTATTTTGCGGGTGAAGTCTCGTTGTATTCCTTCCACCTTTAGTATATCAGATAGACGTAGGTTGGAAAATAAGAACGAGCAGTATTCAACGATAGGTCTTACACAAACTTTGTAAAGAAGGATTTTAGATTCATTTTGATAGAAATTACGGAGAATGAAGCCAAGCAATTTCCGCATTTTGGATGCTTTGGCTGAGATGTGTTCAGAGAAATTAAGACTGTGTGAATAATGTACCCCTAGGTCAGTTACTGATGCCAGTCTGGGGAGTGCGTGATCGCTAATTGTTAGTTTCATTTTAAGAGACGTGTCTCCTATACATAACCAGCCGCATTTCTCTATGTTGAGCTCTAACCTCCAGCGTTTGCACCAGTCATCTACCATGTTGAGTTCATGTTGGATTGTTTGCATAGTACTGCGTAAATCGCAAATGTCAGTTTTATAGATGACTTTTAAGTCATCGGCATAGAGGTAGGTCTTACCTGTGCTGAAACACCTGCATATATTGTTGATGTAGATTATAAAGAGCAATGGACCCAAGACACTACCCTGCACAACACCACTGGTTATCGGTCGAGGTGTAGATGTATTAGAGTTAATCTTGGTTATTTGATATCTGTTCGTAAGAAAAGACTTGATCCATTGCAAAAGGGGATTTATAATTCCAACTGACTTCAGTCTGTTGATTAGAAGATTATGAGGTACTTTATCAAAGGCTTTCTTAATATCGAAGTATAGTATAATAACTAGTTTCTTCTGGTCACGCATACGAGTAACCTCGTTAAAGAAGTCTATCAGGCATGTACTGCACGACCTTGTTCTAATGAAGCCGTGTTGTGACGGGTCTATTAGATCTTCCTTGAGTAGGTGATCAGATAGTTGATTTTGTATCACTTTTTCCATTATGCGTGATATGACTGGAGTGATATTTATAGGTCTGTAGTTTTCTACCAGGTTTCTCGGTCCGGATTTGTGTTTGGGTAGAACATACGTTACCTTCCAGGTTTCCGGATATGTACCTGTCTCTAAAGATAATGTGTATATTTTGAGTAATAGCGTCTGTATGTCCGGCCCTGACATTTTATAAACGATTGAAGGGATGTCATCGGCACCAGAACTCGCATTTGGTTTAAGGGTTTTAATGGCGGTATGTATACTCATAATGTCGAAGTTTATGGTACTAAGATAGTTTTTGCCGGTGCACTTTATGTCGATATCTGGGGCATCAGATGTATTCCCATTGTGAGAAAACCATTCACTTAATAGTTCACATATGACGGTTTGGTCATTATACGTTACTCCATCGTGCAGTAAGGAGTGAATGTTGTTGTCTGTGTTCTTTCTTATGCGTTTCGTGAGGAGACGACATAGGGCTTGGGCTTTAGATGCAGCAGCGAGCGCAGTACGTTCCTCTACCTGTTTATGCTTGTTGTGTTGACTTTGTACTCCGTCAAGTACAGAGTATATCTGGTGCAGGGCACTTAAGTCTTTTGATATATAGTACATCCTTTTCAGTTTTCTCAGTTTAGACCTAGTCTTTTGGTTTATATAGGGAGTAACTGTTTTAAAACCAATTTTAGAGGGTATAGTGGTGTCTAGTGCAGATTTGGTGGTGATATTGAATATTTCTAATGTTTCTAAGAGGTTATTACTGGTAAAGAAACTGCCCCAGTCAGAGTGCTTTATTAGAAATCGAAAGTTTTCCCAGTCAGCGTTTGCATAGTCTCTATATTGGAATCGCGTTTTTAATGTCTTTAATTTGTTGCATATGGCAAGAATCGGAAGGGTGCAGAGGACTATTTTATGATCGCTGTTGTGAAACTTTTCGCTAACCACCATTGATGTTGGTGTGACACTATGACAGAATATCAAGTCAACAATGTTGTGATTTCGTGTAGGCAGGTGTACATGTTGTTGCCAGCCGTGTATGTCTAAGGACCTAAGTATGCTTTCAAAGCACAATGGGCCAGAATGTGTCTTCCAGTTGATGGTGGGAAGGTTGAAATCACCACATACAATTTTGTATGTGAAGTCAAGCGAGGCAGCCTGAGCAAATGACTCACTTATAATAGTGTCAGTTGAACTAGGAGTGTTAGGTGCTCGATATATGCATCCGATTAGTATTTTACATTCATGAGTGTGCACAGTAAGCCATATCGATTCAGGAAGTTTGCTGAGGACGTGGTCGCTATAGGTTTCCGCTCTCAAATTTTTTGATACATAGACGAGACAACCACCACCCTTCTTGGTGACTCGATCACAGCGGAAGAGCTCATAGGTGTCTATTTGTAGAAATGTGTCTGTGGTATCGGAGGACAGCCAACTTTCCGTTATCAAAACAAGTGAGGGGTTGTTTAAAAGCAATAGGGTGCGTAGGTAAGTCATCTTACTTTGTACAGATCTAGCGTTGATTAACATAAGTGTCAGGTACGGTGACTGTTTGTCTAGTAGAAGGGTATGATGTAAACTCGGTTATGTCATTCTGAGTCGTTTGAGGCTTTTCTTTGACTGAAAAAAACTCTGTCGTAGAAGATTTCGTAATCTCTAAGATACGATCGGCAGATGCAGCCAGATCGTCTAAGGCGTTAGTCTGAAACAACATAATCCAGTTATTTAATTAAAATACATTATGAAATGACGAAATCTGTGGTTGCTTAAACGCACAAATAACCCTGGGCGATACATTAAGTTTACATGGTTGCGTTGCGGATAAATTTACCCATTAAAAAATGACCACGTTTTGGATGTTACATATGTGTGAATTGAATGAGTCTGTATATGAACTGGGTGGTGAAAGTCGTTTTACTCATTGCTGGACAGAAGAACAACACAACATACGTCAACAGTCCATTGAAACTCAGATAGAGTAAGCAAAGCATGAAATAATATATATAGGCATACAGTTCACACCGTCATGCCGGTTGTTACTTTCAATAAGAAATGAAGCGTGTTAAGAGAAGCTTCTATAACTTCCAACTGGGTTGATTGGACTTACGATTGGGAAAGCTTGTTTGTTCAAGTGAATTCAATCAATACTGAATCTTGCGAAACTTTGAAGTACGTCATTGGATTTCACTTAGATCTTGTGATGACAGCCTCTTCGCAAAACTCATGCTTAAATAGCTTCGATATTCGCAAACCAAGTGCAGATTCTGCTAAAGAAGGTCCAAGTGGTTCCTCTCGACAACCAGCTTTCAATGCATATCCCCTTGAATCTTCACCTAATTTGCTTATTCCAACAAATGATGTGATATATATGCCATTAAATCCCACAAATGTGCCTTTGTCGCTACAACGTGCATGTGCCTCCAATGAGACTGTAGGCGGTGATACACAGAGTTACAGTCATCCAATATGCCATGGATTCATTTTTCCAAACTCAGAAGTAAGTTCAAATGATGCTGAATTTAACCAGATAAACATTCCGAGTATGCAAAATCATATCAATGATGTTCCTTACAGTATGCAGAGCCAGAGTTCGAGCAACGTGGACACAAATGCCCAAAAACATCTTCAACTCCTGTTGCTTCAAAAGTTAATTGAGTTGCAGCTTGCCGAACATTATAACTCAATTAAAGACACACTAATACTAACTAAAGACCCCAATAATGAGTCTCAAAACCCTAAATTACTGCCATGTTTTGTCAAAAACTCTGACTTTGACGCAAGTTCCAACCCAGTTTCAACTGTAAATACCGAAAACTCAGATATGTCGACATTTTTGGTCCCTGTTAAAGCCAAGTTTGAGGGCGAAAGTGGTTTGTCTTTACACATAACTCCAAATGACGAAATCAGTAATCCGACCCAAGGAAGTTCAGTTACCGTAGCATACTCGAGTCAACCCATCGTCTTATATCCATTTTCTGTTCAACAAGATAATTCTACGGAAGATACATTCCCAGCCAGCCAAGCCGTGCCTGATGCGTCCCCAGGTGGACCAACTGCTCAAACATTTACGATGAAGGACATAGATCACTGTATACGGAGAGGTTCTCTGGATTTCCCTTCTGAGCCAAGCAATGACATAGTTGAGAGTATACGAGGTCGTACGAGACCAGGGTTTGTATTGTTAAGCGTTCGGCATGAAAAAATCAACGCAGAAAATAAGATTTCACCAACTTCTGAGAAAAATTTCCAGGGGAGTCATCCTCCTATTTCAACATCAACCAGTCTTGAAACAAAGAAGTCGAAAAGTGTCACCATGTCTAAAAAACTACCTAGAAAGAGATTGAAGCATATGAAAAGCGATGCAGAACTCAAAAAGCGACCCCTAAGAGGTTCGTCTAAATCTCTCCTAAAACGCTCTGAAAACGCTGAAATGTCTCCGACTCCGGTAGAACTTACGGAGGATGATCTTAAAGCTTTATCTCCACAGTCAAGATTTCGAGTGACTAGGTTCGCAGACAAAAAGCAAGCCTGGATAGCTCCTGCAAAGGCAGGATTCACTGTCCATGATTTATGGACAACTAAACTTCCGGAATATGTGTTAAGATGTGCCGAGCACCTAAAACTATCAGGCTCTGGTTTAAACTTACAACAAGAAAAACTTACTGAAATCCCATATTCGTTGGACGACATTATAAACGGACATTGTTTGGCCTGTGAGAAGTCACCTCGTAAGTTTGATATTTTGAGTTAACAAACTTCTCGTTTCATTAATACTTTGACTAGTTATCAAGTTTGAGCTGTCTGCGTACCACGTAAGTTGTGAAGCTTTTTCACGAGGTTACTGTTTAAAAATCATTATTTATGAGTTGCAAGGAAACCTTAACATGTTGTTTTGATCAACAACCGTAACTCGTAAAAGACATCATAGTAACTGATCATTAACCAACGCTTCGAAAGGAAGCACTTTCATAGCATCGCTTAGACGATTTCTGGTAAAACAAATGGCTTTTCACGTCTAGACCAAATATATCTGCATGTTGTTCTTAAGTGGATTTAATTTTTTCCCTCAGGATGGTGTGCATATCAAATTTTTCTATGAATTGCCTTATCTGAATTATATCGTCGGTTTTTGTCCTCGATACAATACCTGTAGATGACTACCTTACCATCGTGAATAGTAGACTACGTACCACGCCTCAAAAAGAGTGAACACTATTTTGTCCAAGCATCGGGTCATTCTAGTTATAAATTTTGTACTTTATCTTACCAATTTTGTATTCATCAACGCAGGTAATTAGGTTGTCCTTAACCTGTTCAATAAGATTCAGTAATCATAGATCTGTATGAGGAATTCATTAATTGAATTTAAATTGGTGGGTGGGGAACGTTGCACACATGTTTTAGTGGCCGAATTATGAAACCTGATGCTCCTCAAAATCAAATTCTATCGAAACATCTCTAGATTATTCAGAGCACCTTCATGGTCGTATAAATGTATCATTTGGACGGTTCGGTCAACCAGTATTGATCATAAAACAAATGTCTCCTACATTAACCACTCGTTCCGTAATCTACGCGTAGATCTGGTCTGATTCAAAGGATATGGCATTTCATATCTTCTAACCAGCATTTCAGAGCCTATTTTGCATGCACTTGACAGATTGACAGTGAACTGTTGTCTTAATTAATCGCATATAGGCTCATTTCTCCAAAACATCAAGGTAAAAATGTTGATTTTGACACTGTAAATACTAAAGGTGCTACACAGTCATATCGAGAAGCAAGACCAACAAGATGTTTGGTTTTTTTGAATTCTAGTAATTTCTGGGTTTGACCCAACTCATGTCAATATCATTTTAAAATAAACAAACTTGTCTGAGTATCTGGCTTGAAACACGTCATCTACGTTTACTGTTCTCAAGAAACCTATTCACATGGAGAGAACTTTCAATCTCGTGTTTTGATGAGCATTGGATATTTCCAGTTTTCCGCCATTTGCATCTAACGTCTTCAAAACAGTTTGTAGAAGTTTACCGGTCTGTAGAGACAGAGAGAGCTACAAACATTCTTGTCGTTTCTTACTCTTTGAGTCCAGGACATCACAGTGACGTTGTTATTCTGACTTATGTTAGAGTTACTCACAATCATTACCCACTATCAGGTAACACGAACCAATTAGAGTATGTTTGGTAGCATAGCTTCAATGTTGATACAGCTTTCAAATTTATATACCTTCAAGGGACTTTAAGCTTTGGTTTCACTTATTTACTCACGGGTTATTCATGACCATCGTAAGGGACTAAGACTAGGAAGATTTCTTCAGCCGTTTCACTTTAGCGTGGATTTTGTTAGTGATGATTCTGAATACAATGTCTTCTATCTAGGGACCAAATGTACTGCTGTGCTTTTATTTAAAAATAGATCCGTTGCGATTAAAGCACAAAGATATAGATTAGGCCACATTTTATTGTTAGTCCTACTATACTATGCCAATATAAAAATAATTTACTAATATTTTGTATGGTGAGAGATGGATTTCCGAACCAACACTTTAATCTTAGTCACGCATGTTTTTTTGACTGTTTACAACTGTAGCCACTGCTCGTTAGTCTTCTCTAAATTATATCCAAAGCTTTATCTAACTACATTCTATCATTTAGATCTGTAATTTTCCAGATTATCTTTCTGATTCTTCATGTGTTGTTAACATAAGTTGGTTTGAAACATCTATCTTTAGGTTTATATTTTATAAAATTTGCCATCTCTATAGACAACAGTGTTACTGGTCTTTGAAATTAGTATGCATACTTGTCTTTGCCTATTAAATAACCTGCAAAACTAATCTTCCGATTAGCGTAGCTGATAATTGGTTTTCGAGTGTAAAGTTCTATATTGTACCACTTTACTTCGTCCTGAATTTGTGGATATACGTTTCTCACAACTACCTTTAATACTACTACATGTAGTAATCGTTCGAGAAGTAGAAGTGGCAGAAACAATTTTCAGATCTCTATGTGCTGGTATTTGTTTCTATGATAATGTAGTACGGGTTCTACTAATCGTCATTCAGAGTTCAGTTTTTTTCTTTATTGTTTTTACTCTTTGAAGGAATAGTTTTTGTTAAACATGTTCTTTTCCTTTATCAACTATTTCTAACGACGTTTTATTTTTGAATCTCATTCAATGTTAGGTTAACTTTATTCCTTAATCTTCCACTTCAGCGTAGCTTGTATTCCTGTAAGATTTGTCACTTAAGCAACAATATTGAGTTGACCTAATTACTTACTAAATTTATCAAAGCCTTTTCAAACCCCAAATTATCATATTTTTGATAAATTCGGTTCAACTGAATCTAACATACGTAGCAGTGTAGACGCACAGTTAGTAAACTCATCGTTTAAACTGTTGTACAGTGATATAGACTAATCACTGATCAACTGGCCGCGATACTATCTAAATATTTTTTGGTGTCAAAAACCAGCTGGACAGATAGTTTCTCAAGCGAGATATTGTTATATCGTAGCAAATAAAATAAAACCAGTTGTATCTCATTTGAAATATTGTTGACCAGAAACAGTTAATGTAATATTGACATTTAAAAAGTAGTTCCTACTATTAAAACTATTAGTACCTAAATATTAAAATGAAATGCCCTAACTATGATCGCTATGAGTTCTCTTTAAACTTTCACATGTCCAAAAGTGTCGAAACATATTTCTCTGAGATAACCATTTTAACGTCTCGCCGGGCTGTATATAATTCGGGAATATTAACGTGATCATATTCAAAAAGTGTTCATTGTACTAGAATTAGTGTAACTAGGAAGAAATACTCTAGCAAACATTCAGTGCATCTACTGTTATTTAATTCGCACATGATATCTCTCCCTTTCCATTTATCACTGTAGTTGAAAGATTTATACTCTGATGTGAATCGATTGACTTCTCGTGGTGTTTAGAAATTTTTTTAAAACAAAACAAATGTTGAACTGAATTATCCATTGACTTTTGTATTCTCTAAATAAATTTATGTCGTCTGATGTCATTATGTAATAACCCCATATCTACTTTCTTCTTACTTGTTGCTCACCATGATGATATGAATTTTCATATTGAATTGTAGCAAAAATGTATTCATCTTAGGTTTTGATTTGATTTGTTCATTGTAGTAATCCATCTACAAACTAGATCCACTTATTCTAGGATTAATGATATTTTTGATGGTGTTTACAAAGAAATTAAATTTGAAACGACTTAATGAAACAATCAGTACTTGAGTAACGTTGGTTGTACCATTCTATCGTAGTTCAACCTAAGCTCTGTCTTAAAATGTAGAGTCAATTTACATCATCATTTATCGTGTTATTTACTTTAAGTGTGAAACTCCAATGCTTATGATTAGTACTAAATATAATGGGTAAAAATATCGAGTGATAACATGAATCGTTGTGACACGTCTAGCATATCAGTAGCCCATGTAAAAATTTGACCATGTAATAAAAATATGTCATGTAAGTTACAGTTACTGGGCTAGCTGGTTAGTCTGTAGTTTTAGTAGTGACGTTTCAACGGTTGGAATAGCTATTCCAGCGGGACTCTCAAACGATGTATTGAACCTTCTGCTCCCCCGCAGATTAAATGGGTTTATGGAAATACCCAGGATTCTCTTATATTTCCACTAAGTTTTTGTCCAGTCAGTTCTGTAGTCATTTCTTTTGGGCGTAGGGTGTATACCTTTTAATAGGAAAAACCTAATGTTCATCCTCCGGAACGTCGATCTACTATAGTTTAAGATAAGAAACGCCTAGGAAAAAGGCTGATTTGTAGTGCTATAAAGTCTATATATTGGTATTTGTTCCTATGATAATGTAATATGTGTTCTGCTAGTCATCATTCTGAGTTCAGTTTGTGAGACTTATTGTGATATATTCTGTAAACGTTTCTTCTTTTTTCATGCTACTGATCTTCATGGTTTTTTCTTTCCTATAGATTTATTTGCTGCTTAATTATCCTTCTATGTATCCTTCCACCTGCTTTAATATCATATAATTCTGTGGTCATTCTTCGTCCAATTTTAGTTCGGACGTCTAGTTTTTATTGCCAGCCTCCGTCTTCCTGGACATTCGATATAGTTGATAATGCATACAAGCCTTAAAAATCCAATATGTTATCAAACCTGGACGTTTGATAGATCCGCGCATTTATTGACTCTTCGTCCGAACCTTTTGGTTATGTGCAGATTGCCTGGCTGAGTTTAACGCAATTACCGCAACTAATCTTTTGAGACTCTGTATATTAGGAGATAGAATCGGTTTGAATTGCTCAGGCGCACTCACTTGTTTCTGCTTTATATCCCAGGTTTCTGATCTAGCACATAGTTTCCTGTATTTTTACAAATCAATTTCAAGAATTTCATCTCGATGTACCTATATAGTAAGGTAAGCTGAAGCAATATGTATGCTCGAAATCCTGTGTTGATTACAACTTACATTCCACATCGAATTGTTTCAATATATAGCATGATAACTAGACTCGGGATTTTTAAGTATAACTGTTTAGCTGCTGTTATTTATATTTGCTAAGGTCTTCTACAACCACTTATTGGATGCTGTACCATCCTGTTTTGCACTCTACAGCTTTTTAGCTGTATTATGGAAGTCTAATTTTGCCAGTACCTTGGAAGCAATCGAACTCAAGAATTTTCGGCTTCAATAAGAAAAGTCCAGACA